CGCTCAGCCATTTTCGCGTTTCCATCTTTACTCTCTAACCGCATTTTTTTTTTTACACGCATGCGCGACCAGTATCACAACAACAATGGCGCCGTTGCTGCTAATGCTACTCACCCTGCTGTCGGGCTTACAACAGAACCTTCTTCTTCTGGAATATCTCCAGGAAGGACAGAGCAATATCGACGACATAGTTCAGCACCTGAATTTGACTTAACCACGAAAATGGACCCGCAGGGCAACCATGTATAAATCATAGTGCGCATGCCCAACATTTTGTCGCTTATTTTTGCTTTGGCACCACAGCGCCACTTACAGGCCTGGCATACATTTTGCAGCGTTTTCATGCATTCGTGTGGACGATCACATTTATTTTACGTCTCCGTCTTTACGGCAAACGTTTTGGAAAATATCAGCGTTTCGTGTTCGTTTTGACTTCGTGTGGACGGGGCCTCATTCTCTTCAAACTACTGTTGTCTAGCTCCAATCAAGCATCTTAGAACCATACCCTACATCAGGATGCTACCTGAGCTAGGACCCTTATTAATAACCCAACTCACATCTGCATGGTTAGCTCTGTTAAACAGCAGAATGAAAGACAATGATAGGCATTATGCAGGTTTACTATAAAACAGTTATAAAATGTTAGGGAATCTGTTCTTTATCAGTGTTCTATCTGCAGATCATTGGTGAAAGCTGTATAAATTATTTGACAGTTGCATATTAAACATGACCCCTTTAATACTTTTTTAAAAGTCTTAAATTTATTGGGAGACAATCTCTTTACGTTTTGAAAAGAGAAAACCCTTTAAAGTCATTTTATTTTAAATTAATTTCCGTTTGTCAGCAAAAGAAATTTCCTCACTACCGATTATTTAGTGGGTAAAACCAGAATTAAAAAAGCTCCTGAAAGGCAGTTTTATTTCTGCTGTGAATATTCTCTTTGGGAGCTGCAGGTAACTCCCATGCACTGGTGGGAGATCTGCAGAAGCTTTAGATGTGGTTTTCTTTGAATAGCCACTCACATTATAGATCGATCTGCCCATAAATGGCTCTGTCAAAGAGACAGTGGGATGGTGGGGGTGGCTGTTTGCCGACACGTAACTCCAGTGCACCTGAAAAACCAACCCTTTCCATTTATTCTTCGAACCCACTATCTCTGTTTGCTAAACACAAGAAAAAATGTTTTTGCTGTTGTTGCCTTACTGCAAGTGAGTGTTTAATATCCCTGCTGCGCGTGACGGGTTAGAGCAAAGGTCTTGGTATCAACAGTGCTGCGTGTTACATAATCCGTCACAGATGGAGAGTTGCTCATTCAGACAACCTGCAGCTCACCGGGCCATTCATTAGACACCGGACTCTACACGCCATCATTGGCTGCATCATTTCTTATTTTGCAATTATGATTTTAATCTTTTGGATTTCTAAGTGTAACTTAAAGTAGATTTGCTTGTGGAAGGCAATTTAACCTCTCATGACAGATGATCTGGCACCAAATCTTCCGCATGTACTTAACAGATCCTTAGCTTTAGCGGCGGAGGACACAGAGTTGTGGGGCTTCTCAGTAAACCCATAGCTGTTTATGTAACCGGCCCCAGGCTTCTGAGAACTCTGAAAACATGAGGCTCTGTTGCTGGTTAGGTGGCTGTACGAGGAAAAACAAAATAAAAATAATGTTCACTTAACGATGCACTAATTACAGTCCATGCTGATCAGGGGAAAAGGATCTTATTTTCATTTCTGGCTGATTGATTGTCGCATCGCTCATATTTATGGTCACATGCTTTCAGTCTTGCTCAAGCAGCTCCTTTTTACAGCTTTTTTGTGTGTTTCTGGCAGCAATTCTACTTGATGAAGAGGCACTTTTAAGCAGTATTGATCCTGTGATAAGGGGTCATCACCAGGAGTCACAAGTTTATGACCCCACATCCTCTAAGAGAAACACTTTTACCTCATAGAGATTAAACCCAGTGATGCAGGGGTCTATCTTTGTCTGACTCAGTTTAACAAAAAGACATTGCATTCTTTTGTGGCTTTTAAACCAACAGGGCAAGAATCATGTTACATCTGTTTAAGTTAAAATAGACACTAAATATAATCTACTTTAAATGCCTGGTTTGAGATGGTGGTAGTTGTAGTCCCTACCATTAACCAATTAATGGTATCTCTTTAGGTACATTTAGATGAGAATGTTTAACCGAATACTTTCGGAGTCCTTTTTCTGCTTAGACTAATGCCGGAGTTCAGTTACCAAACTATTCTGCGGAATAGCCTTAAGTTTCAATTAGATGCTCCTCCCTTTTTTCTCCTATTGTGGTTACTGCTCTTTTTTCCCGTCTTCTTTGTGCTTCTTTGAGCAACTGCAATTATATAAGTGCCACACACTTGGGTTGTGTCATAACCGCAGAGATAAAAAAAAAAAAAAAAGTGCCATGCTACAGTATCTAGCAACACGAGGGAGTTACGGTATCCGAATACTGATAAGATGCTTCTTTTTATATAGAAGATATAACAACGCCTGGAGAGGCTGTAAGTAAAAAGTCCAAGCCGTAAAAGAGATGTGATGTGCCCATCTCAACATCAGCTGGGTGTGGAAGGGTGTTTGTGGTGAATCAGCTGCTCAATAAGTTACTTGTCACACCTCTGGCACTCTATTTGCGGTCTATGTGCTAAGCGCCATAATGAGATATTTGGGCTAGAAATTGTCGACACTGCGCGTTCTTCGGCTGCCTCCCCCGACTGTTTGTCATGTTCCCGGGTGAGGGTGAAGACTGGATGAAGAGCAGGAACGCATGCAAACTGAGGGGGTTATCTAGGGTCGTCTGCCATTGGGTTTTAATCTCTGCTGAGAGTCTCCGGTGTCTGCAGTTAGTAGATTTTTATGCCCGACAGGGCAGACGCTCAGACAAACAGGCCCACGCATGACTGCAGTGCCCTGCTCTTCCCTCACAGCTCTCTCTATCAGGCCGTACATGGCCATCTGGGAAGGAAAGGCTCAACACTGTGACGTAAAATAAAGTAGCAAATCATCATGCAATTTAAATAAAAACCCACAGTGCCGTGCAAAAGCATTCATAACTCTTCAGCTGTTTCCCACTTTGGGGACCCAAACTATAATGTATTTAAATGTGATTTAAATAGATAAACAAATGATGCACTGAGAAGTTTGCTGTTCATTTTTATTCAGCTCAGTTTATTCTAATCCCTCTAAATGAAACCAGTTGTCTCAAAAATGTATCTAAGGAATAAAGAACCGACCTGTGTATAATTTCATCTCTCTTTAACTGTAATGTGAAGGCCTCAGAGGCTGCAAGAACATCAGTGTACAAAGAGCATTGTAAAGGAACACCGCTGTCAAGGCTGTGGAGAACTTCTGCACAGGAAGCTCATACGCAGTACCTAAAGGTTTTAATATCTAATGAAGCCCTGATCTATCCTTCATCAAAACTGGAGAAGAGGGTGAAAACCTACCAAGATAAGGCTTGGAAGATTTCCAAGAAGAAGCCATAGTTGAATAGGCCATAAAAAGTCTGTTTCAGTTTGCCACAAGTAAAGGAGGTGAAACCGCAAACATGTGGAAATAGCTCCTGAAAGATCACTTTTTAGCTGGGATGCTTTAGATCAACTAGGACAGGCGAAGTTGGTCTTAGTTAATGGGAAGATGAAGCTAATGACGGTAGAATCCTGCTAGAACAAAAATATTCAAGGCTGCAAAAGACTCCAGACGTAAACAACTAATATGCAATAAAATTAGGTTTGATTCTTTTTTTTTTTTTATCTCATGTTGGCCTAATTTAGAACAACACCTATTTTCTGAGTTCCTGACTAATCCATTGTAGTTCCTCTCTACAGTAACAGAACCACCCCATCTTTTTTTGGGCCATATTTTGTCTGTGCCCCCCTGTTAGACAGAGCGGTATTTGTAGTTGTTGAAAGGTGGCGGTTGGTGCCTGTGTATGAAGAGATGAAAAGCCCAGATAGACGCGTCCATGATGAAGAAGAAAAGGTGGCTTGAATAGAGCTGATTGAACAGCCAGTTGACCTGAGCCAGACTGATAGGCATCACTTAGACCTTATTTGTGTGCATATCTGTGTGCATGTGAGTATATGTATCTGTGTGTATTGTGACTGATCCCAGTGCATGCAGTAGACAGCTGTAGACTTATTTGGTCTGCAGTCATGCTACAGTTGTTCACATATAATAACCTATACAGTACTGGTGTAATGGCAGTAATAGTCTGCCCTTATGTGCTTATCAGCACCATCCACGCATAACTTAACCATCTCACACACACACATGTACTCGGGCTGATATAATTCAGCCACTTGCACGCAATCACCAGCCCTAAAGAGGCAGGGCGTAGCAGAGAGCCGTATAGCCCAAACATCTGCAGTGAATTCCTGCTCTGGTCCTTTGGGTCCGTCTCCGTTAGGTTCCCACTGAGATCACATCTGAATCTAAATGCTTAATGTCTCTCCAGCCTTTACCCCCAGGCTAAGCTGAAAGGGCAGCCCCTCCTAATGGAGCTCTGATTTTGTTAAAGCTTCAATTATCTCCCTTTACCTCTCAACCGGGGTCCATTAGCGGGATAGATTGTACCTGGGGTCCATCTCCAGTCACCGAATACGAAACTGTCAAGAATGATGGAGCGCATGAGCTGAGCAGGCTCCAGGAAATGCCATTACACCACCTCCACCATCACTGTACCTTGTTTGTAATGTAGATGAGTGGTGTAGCTTAAGCTGCAGTAACTGCCGAAGATGAAGTATCGGCTTGAGAAGAAAGCTGGATGTGAATTATGTGAGACCCGTTGTCGGGAAAGCAAATACAAGTGAAAGCCAATCCCAGTTTTGAATTAGAAAGTTAGAACCAAAACTCTGGACAACTTTTAAACGTCCACTATTTACTACCAGGATTCATTTTCGTTAACAAAGTTAGTAAATTCAGCCTTATATATTCTGTTTGGATATTTATCAAACCATTGTGTTTCTTTCCTTTGTAGACGAGCTCACCTGCGGCTGTGCTTGGAGAGGTTGAAGGCCCTCATACCTCTGGGACCCGACTGCAGCCGCCACACCACCCTGGGCCTACTCAATAAAGCCAAAGCACACATAAAGGTGCAGACAGTTTTAAAGAGAACTGCTCTTTATTCCTTTTCCTTCAACTTGTTTATCTTTGGTCTCCACAAAAATTTGTTTAGCTGTTAGTCATTTTGATATAATTGACCAGCACAAGTCTGCGGCTGCCTTCCTCCAACTGTTGGACAACTACTGTCACCGAGGGCCGACAGTCATCATCATAGGTGTGACTCTGCTCCAATGCAGCTGGTTTACCTCCTCACCATGTCGCTGCATTCTGCTGTATCGAACCATGGATTCTTCTTAAAGAAAGAGAATGGTGGCCCCTGAGGAATAACCTTGGTTCCCCTGATCAAAAGCATCCCAGGGGAACTCTGTCTATTTAGGATAATAAACCAGTGCCTCAGCCCAAACCCCTGATAGGGCCCTCAATGCAATTCCAAATTTCAAGTCAAAAGTGTTATTAAGATATAACTTTATGATATAGCTTATTAACTTAATAACATTAAATTAAGTGTAATATCTAAGCTTATTACATTTAACTTTTTAACTTAGCATATTAACTAAGCTTATTAACTTTTAACGTGGCTTATTAATTTTTTAACTTGGCTTATTTACTTTTTAATTTAGCTTATTAACTTATTAACTTAGCTTATTAACTTTCTAACTTAGCTTCCTAACTTTTAATTTAGATTATTAAGATTTTCACTTAGCTCATTTACTTTTTAACTTGGCTTATTAACGTTAAACATGGCTTATTTACTTTTTAACTTATTAACTTTTTAACTTATCTTATAAACTTTTTAACATGGCCTATTAAGTTTTTAACTTAGATTATTAACTTTAAACATGGCTTATTTACTTTTTAACTTAGCTTATTAACTTTTTAACTTAGCTTCCTAACTTTTAATTTAGATTATTAAGATTTTCACTTTGCTCATTTACTTTTTAACTTGGCCTATTAACGTTAAACATGGCTCATTTACTTTTTAACTTAGCTTATTAACTTTTTAACTTAGCTTCCTAACTTTTAATTTAGATTATTAAGATTTTCACTTTGCTCATTTACTTTTTAACTTGGCCTATTAACGTTAAACATGGCTCATTTACTTTTTAACTTAGCTTATTAACTTTTTAACTTATTAACTTTTTAACATAGCTGGCTAATTTTTAACTTAGATTATTAACATTTTCCCATAGCTTATTAACTTTTTAACATGGCTTATGAACTTTTACAAATAGCCTACTAAGTTTTTAATTTTATTAACAGTAGGTAACATATAACACACAGTATTAGTAACTGGATAACTGTTTAAATTCTATGAAACAGCTTTAGAACAGAGGTGGACCTTGCAGACCCTGCAGACCACATTTGTCCTCACCATTTTTGCTTGTTTGGAAAGCTGTGTTTACATCCAAGTTGCCAAAAACTGGTCATTTGGATGATAAAGGTTTAACTTTTCGTTCTAGCAGATCACAATGACCAGTTTTCTCAGCCCTGCTGAAGTAAAACATCTTTACAGAACCCCACCATGTTTCGCCATGCAGACGGTGTGCTCATGGTGAGGAACAAGTTAGCCTTGCATTTAGCAAATAAACAGAAAGTTGGGATTTGCTCTCATCTAACCAAAGTATATACTTCCACAAATTGTGGTTGTGATTTGACAAGAATGTGGAAATGTCCACAGGGTGAATATGCAGTTTTGCAACTGTTGCTATAACAATAGGGCACCAGCATTTGCCTGTGGTTTGTCTCTTCTGTCCATGTGACCTCTCTCGAGTTATCGCTAATACGTGTTCGTTATGAAGTCTGGCATGGTCTGATTGTTATCACATAATGTAATGCAGAAAGGTGGCCGGGGCTCATTTATCATCAGTTTGCTGGAAAGGTGTCCATGTCTGTAAAAGCTGGATTAATGACTATGCGGTTAAATCCCTACAGAGTTGTTTAAAGTATCTGGATAAAGTTGTACTCTGGTAAAACATCATGTCTGCCTCAGATGAAGTGGTCTGTATGTGAAAACGTTGGCTGGGAGTGCTAACACGTGACACAGGGGGGTTGGGGAGGGTTAGTAGTATAAAGCCAATATCGTTGTTCTCCAGCGACAACACTCTGCACCTCGGCTGCTGTCAACTGCATAGCTTATTGATGGCCTTTTGTTTTGCTCTGTCACTAGGAGTCACGCTTGTTAGTGTGGGCCACTGTGACATCAGGCTGTTAGGTTAGAGCACAGCACTGCTGTGTCAGGCACGGCTGTGGCCCCTGCTTGTATCGTAATGGGGATAGGGCTGCATGTGAGAGCGTCACAGCATTAAAACCAGGATGGATGGATGGATGCTGTAACTGGTAGTTGGGAGATATTTGTATGGTATCTTATAGTTTGCAGTTTCGCATCTCCACATCTCCTTTTGTGGAAAAAGTCGTTTCCCCAGCTGTTAACACCTGACCTCACTGTCTGTGTTTTGGCTGCTACTTTTCCTCTTTCGCTGTTTTTCTTCTCTGTTTCCCCTCTGGTTTGTCTTTCTATATGTGCACTTTAACTGCTAATTTTCTGATGGCGGTAATTGCTGATTCGTCATCTTTTAGTTTGCTGCCAACCAGTTTGTTTCACAACCAGTCTGAAATCATCCATTTGTTGCAGCCGCATAGTCTCAATCATACAATGTTTACAAAAACAAACTCTCTTCTTTGAGTTCACTTATTAAATAAAATACCAACTTAGAAAGTATTATTTCAAACCTTCTCTCTCTTTCTTATCTTTTTCTTTCTTTCTTTATTTCTTTCTTGCTTTTTTTAAAAACAACTCTTAAAAAAAAGGAAACAGAAGTTATGAATAAAAAGAAGCAAAAATAAGTATAAACATATACTTACTCCTTTTTACAAAACAGAAATAAATATCTAAATCTCAAAGTTCAAAAGACAAGAGAAGATGCTGTTTAACAAATGTAAATCTACGTAACTCCTTAAAAAGTGCTCATGGTTAAAAGAGAATATCCACTAGCCTAAAGTTGGTCATATCAACAGTGTCACGACCGAGCAAAGATTTTAAAATAACTGAAACTGTGGTAAAGCAGGAAGGAGTGAGGTCTCAGATGTATCTAGTCATCCCAGACAACGTGGAAAGTAAAATAGTTAATATAAAATGTATGAAGGTTTATAGAATCAAGCCACACTGGGTTTTCCATGGCTTCCCATTTTGTGATGCACGCTTTCATGTTGAAAAGCGTTTATTACGGCTCTTAAAATGACAGAATGAAGTCAGCTTTCCAAAGCATCCAGGTCTGTTATGTCTAAAGTGCGTCTCATTATTTTTGTTTTATTCATCATATTTAACAATTGTTGGTTTCTGTAGAAAACAAAGGTTAAAAATTGAAGGTCCAGACATCCCAGTCAATCTCTAGATGGTTAGTTAATGCTTACTCATTAATAAGAAAATGAGTAGAGAAGAAGTCTTGGAGTTGTTAGTCCCCAATAATGGTTAAATATGTTTACTTTGAGTTTCCAGAATCCTGCATGCAGAGGTGAGTGAACCCTCAGCAATGCAAAGACAAGGTCTGTGTAGGATACCGTCATATTGGTTGCTTGATGATATATTTGAGTTGGCTTTTCCCTACATCGCAACAAAAACTCCATTGTAGATCTAAGTGTGTTTGCTTCAAAGTCAGATGCCCTGTAAGGAGTGGAGCTGTTATCTTCTATTACATGAAAGCATTGCAATAACAGACTGTAGAGACCGTTGATGGGGGTGTTAGGAGAGCTCAGGAACAGGTGTCACAGCCTTCACTGTCTGTGAGCACCTAGGTAGCTTTCAGGGTTAGCTGCTGTTTGTTGGGCAGGTCGGTGCTGAGCTGCAGACGGGTTACGTGTCAAACCATCTTTGTTAGTTTCAACCTGCACCCTGCCTCTCTGGGTGGGGGCAGCAGTGCTTGATGCACGCTGGAAGAGCTGCAGCAAAGTCAATGCAAGTGGAATGGAGAGGAAGGAGAGCTAAAAGCTGATGACATTCTTGGCAGAAGCTGAACCCAACATGTGCTGTGCTTGGTGTGATGTTAGTTTGGGCCTGCAGGAAAGGATTTAAAGCTACCGTGGTTTAAAAAGAATCACTGCTATAATGTGCAGCAAGTTTTGCTGCAAAAGTCTACAAAAATTTTTATTTTTAAAAGAAGAACAAATCTGCATTGTGCTCAAATATAAAATAGTTTTTTATGATGATATAAAGAAAAGAAAAAAAAATATGACTATTACATATTGATGTCTGTAAATTTCAGATAATTATTGAACCTAAATATTGAACCTATTGTCCTTTCTGTTGATGGAATTGGCTGGCAAACTGCATGCCCTGTGGGTCAAGCTCTTGGCAGATGTTCCAAGTTTAAAGTGACTTCCAAACCTTTTAACTATTTCTTGCATCTTTGTCATCTTCAGAAACTTGAAGAGGCGGACAGGAAAAGTCAGTACCAGCTGGAGTCTCTGGAGCGCGAGCAGAGGCACCTACAGCGTCAGCTGGAGCTGCTGAGAGGAGGAAGTGTTGCTGCAGTCCAGAGCAGCCCAGGGGAGGGCGAGAGGATACGCATGGACAGCGTTGGCTCCACCCTCTGCTCCGACCGCTCGGACTCAGACCAAGGTGAGGACGCCTCACAGCATTGGGTCGGGCAAAAGTAACATTGAAAGTTGTGATGCTTGAGGTGACGACGTGTAAAAATGTGAAAGTAAATGTTTGATTTTTATTGCTGAAAATTTTTTTCATCACATTTTGCCCTCATTGAAAACATGGAATCTCTTTTTTAAGTGTTTTATTTTTAGCTTTGCTAAAGTTAAACTGCAACAATGACACAGGGAAGAAAATCCTCCGATTGAATGGGAGCAAAACCGGCCTTGTAGCCGTCATATAAAACAATATGTGATGTAGGAAAGCTACGTCCCCGTAGAAACGTGCTGAGGATGATTAATAGGTAATACTGGACATTTATTTGTCCAATATTAATGCTTAATGACCCAAAACATACAGGTTTCCAGTGGTGCTTGATACCTGAGCACATTCATTTTTGTAAACAGAACCGCTGTTTGAAGAACGAACAAGAATTCAAGAAACCAAAACATGAAATCTATAATGTATAAAAGCAAAGGACTGATCCTTAATCATGTTATTAGGTAAAACATTTTCCTTCAGGCAAATATCTGATGACTGGAAAATAAATTCTATCCTTACATTAAGAGCTAATTACAAGGTCATGACTTTGGTTTTCTGTCTAGCAGACGTTATGATAGTGGAACATGGTTTTTAGGTTTCATTTTAACTGCGTCAAACAGCAGGAATAAACACCCAGCCATAGCGTTGAATGACATTAGAATATTTTTTTAAACTTCTCTGCTCTTTTTCTGCAGAAGAGATCGAGGTGGACGTAGAAAGCACCGAGTTCTCCCATGGAGAGCTCGACGGCGTGAGCACAGCCAGCACCAGCGACCTGGACGACCACAGCAGCCTGCAGAGCATGGCCAGCGACGAGGGCTACTCCTCCTGCAGTGTCAAAATCGCCTTCTCCTCCTAAAGCCTCCGCCGCCAGCAACCACCAGCCCTGCCAAACCCAGCCGCTCACCCAACCGGCCACGGCATCGCCTACGGTGACGGCGCTCCCCCTACCAACCTACGCTCCGAGCCTTTTCGTTATGCCGCGTGCGCTCTTTCCCCTGCTGGAGGAGCTACAGTGAGACATGCTCCTCCCGACACCGTCTCCTCTGGCACTGAAAAACTGCTCTAAATTCACATAAAGGGAGATCAGAGACTTCACACACACAAGTCTTCTGGATTTTTAAACCCATGACAAAAAAAAAGTGTAATTGATTGAAGTGTTGATTTTCAAAAGATGCACAACCCCTGATTTTACTTAAAATGCACTTAAATTTTTATAATAGTGAAATTATTCAATTGTTTTTTTTTTTTTTTTAGTTCCTTAATATGAGTGTGTGTTGAGCTGAAGTTAACTCATTCAAACAGTCTGGCGTTAAACCAGGGTTTGTTTTACGGCGGAGGGGGGGGGGGGGGGGATTTCTGCCATATCGACGCTGCTTGGCCCTAAAAGACAACGAATAGAATAAAAATGGCCCTGCAGAGCTAAACGTCATCCCCGTTTTATCGTTTGTCTCTGCTCGACACCATGGAGGCTCAAATCAACAAAATCGGTGCTATCAGGGAAGCAGAGCAGATACAGTACCATACGGAGCGTCCTCTGCGTGTCGACCAATCACAGAGGAAAACCCGCAAAAAAAAAAAAGAGCATTCCTACCGAATGTTGGTTCTTAGTGCAGTTTCTACGAGTGGAAATCGTAACTTTGTGCGAATGTGTTGTTTTGGTTCCTTAACTCCTCAATAAGCAGCTACGACAAGCCATCCAGCACTTGCCTACTTTGCAGCTGTCAGTATAATAAGGCACAATCCTAGACCAGATAAAAACACACACAAAAAAAGCAGCAGCAACAAGGGAAAATAAACCCAAACGGCTTTAAAGTTTGGAACAGACGTCCGTCCTATTTCCAGCAGTAAGAAGCAATAACTCCCGCAGTTCTTTTTTCTTTTTTTTTTTCCTCCTCCTTCTGTGTGACCGTCCCCAAAAATAAACAAAAAAATAAATTAAAGCAATTATTTATTTTTTTGTACATACAAATAGCTAAATAAATTAAATTTTAAAAAAGACTTTAAAAAAAGATAGAGCTCATTGATAGAAGTATCACCTGTTTTGCTATTCGACTTGTGTTTATGGTGCATTTTAAACTAAATTTTATCTGCAATATTTTCCTTTCTGTTCCAAGTGATTGCCACCTACTTAGTTCCCACCCTGACGTGGAGCATCATCGATTTGTGATGGAAAACAAAACAAAAAGCAGCTCTCTGTTCTTAAAGGATGCAGTTCTTGTGCAGCACAGTTTTATTTTATTTATTGTACTGTTTTTACATTTTATTTCTTAATATTCCTTGTACATGTGGCATTCCTCGGGTGGGTCAGGCGTTCTGAAGGAGAACGGGTTGTATGATGTCAATAATCTCCAACCAAACCTTCGCTGGCTTTAAGAATTGCACTCCAACCATAGTTGTCTTTAAGCTTAAAATTTCCATCCAATCATTTTCATCTGAAAGGAAAGAGGAGAACTGCCACAAGTTTTAAATATTTATTTCTCAGTCCCCTAAAAAGTGTTTGCAATACGGGGAAAAGTTCACTTATTTTGGTTCTGTCTTATTTTACTCACTCTTCCTCATTCCTTATTTTAAGAATTGTATATTTTATGAATTGTTGTTAAGCTGATTTCTTTGTCTTTAAAGGTAATGAGGATTTTAAGGAATAAAGAAAATAAATGTAGCCATTTTGTTTATTATTATTATTATTTTTCTGATGTTTTATTGTATGGACACTTGAAATGTACTCTGGCCCCTAAGCTGCTCCTAGTGCTGAGCCTCACCTGTCTGGAGTCGGCAGCCTTGTCCAGAACTGTCTCTGTCCCCGAGCAGCATATCGTCCTGGTTTTATTCTGCTCCGAGGGTGCACTTGTTTCTGCACGAGGCTCGCTTACAGCCTAGACTTTTCTGGCAAATTCTGAGCCAGCTACTACACAATGAAAGGGGGTCTAAAAAAAAATCCACTCTCCTCTATTATGAGGGTTGTAGTCTCTATCAGACTCGTGGTCTAGTTGGCTAAATGTCTTACATTTAAATCCATTTGTGGATTTCATGAAAATGATGACCACAAAAAGAACAAACCTTTGGTTTCTCTCTGAAGGATGTCACTAAGGTGTGAAGGATGACATGTGAGCTCCTCTGCAGAGCTCTGTCGAGGTTGTTGGACTTGGCACTGATTCAGAAAGTCACCGCTTTTGGTGCTTTGTTATAAAAAAAATGCCAAAAACACCTCAGAACACCTCAGTGTCCTCTCTCTCTATCTCTCTCTCTCTGAGGGACAGTTTACATTTACCTCCCCCTTTTAATTTAATGACTTCCATTTAAGTGTTGCTTTACTGTTTTTATTTTTTTCCTTCATATGTTGATTTTCTGAACCTGCACTGCTTGCAGAAGGGCCCCATGGTTGACGTCTCTCCTCGTTCAACATGCCATTTTCCTGCACAGATTTTAGTAAATGTTAAATTTGGAGATGCACCAGGAAATAAAACCTGATGATTTTTGAGCAGTTGCTCAACTGAAAGAAGTTGATATTTTAAACACATGCAAATGTGTTTTGTTTGTTTTCTTTAAAGACCAAGCATCAGCAAACTTTCCTGATTATGGATCCGTTTGCACACAACTTTCCAAGCCGTCTAGAGATCATTTATCGTAGAATAACTGGGCTGCACCAGTGTAGTTCAAAATTTGCTCTGAGTAAGCTGAGCTTGATTATCAGTTTTGTGCAGACTGTTCCTTGATCAGCAAATTGGCAGGTCTGAAAAAAAGTTTCTGGCTATTCTGCATATTTTCAAGCATATCTTCACAAAAAAACAAAAAATCCCCTTAGTGTTTAAGCCCAAGTTCAGCCGCTTGGCATGATCAGGGTGTGAGGTCACAGCCAATGGACGCCCACTTCAAAGAGCAGTGCAGGAAAGAGCCTCCTGTTGTTGTGAACCTGTGGCCATTCTTTGTAAAACATGCACTCCGGTGATGATGATGATGAGGAGGAGGATTCTATAGTTGTGTATGTTGAACATGCAATACCAACAATAAAGCCACCAAGATTTTCAACCCTAAAGGACTGAAATGAGCTGTTCATACCACAAAATGTCTCTCTCCTGAATGTACTGTAAAGAAATGACTTACACTAAGATGAATAAAGTTTGTGACTTTAACACATCTTGTATTAAAACTCTTTAAGAGGGGTTATATTTGTCAAATCTGAACTTTTATTTCAATTGTTATTCAGGAGGTCTCATGAAAAATTATGGTTTTGCACAAAGTTACTAAAGGAAATCATAAAAACATTTCAGGTGCCTGTTATGCTTTCATTTATAAGCATGAAACATTTTATAGCAGATCAGGCTTTTAACCAAGCTTGGCAGGAAATTTGACTATTTTTCAGTGGGATTGGTGCAAAAAAAGATTTTAATTATAGACTAAAACATACTCGATTCTGTTAAATTATAAATAGGTCTTAGATAAGCTCAAATAATAATTGATTAGAATAAGCAAGCATGGCAAAAACTATCCAGAAAGAAGTAAAAATTCTTAAATTAAGTTAATTTAGCCTTAAGTTTAGTAGGTAAATCAGATGATTTGCAAATGGAAAGAGTATTTCTACTCTTTAAATAAGAAAATTAGATATTATTCACTTGAAATAAGACAATACAATTACTTTCTCTTATTGAGATTTCATTTTTTTTGTAGTGAGGCATTTCATTGGTTTATTTCTGTTATCTTTAGAGAGCTGCAGTAAGCCAGGTTTGCAGGAGATGGTGCCATAGTTGTCCGGGCATTTATTTCAAAGCTAGGTTCTTTAAATCCACTACAAAAATTAAACAAAATGATCAAGTTTAAGAGCGCAAAGATATAAAAGCATCATATATCCTCTTTGTAATTTTATTCCACCATGTTGAATTTATTTTTGTAGAAATACTTTGATTCTCAACCAAGAATTTGGGGCGACTTGTAGCTTTTTATGGGTCAGAAGCTAAAAGGTTTGGGAACCTCTGGTGTGCAGAGAGATCAGAGAATTGAGATTGACACTTTGTTGTCCTTTAGCCAATATTATTTCAAATTTAGTGCCGTGTTTTCAACCTAATGTTCTCTCCTCATAATGCCATCTAGAATAGAAAAAATATATCCTTTATTGTCCTATATTGGGAAATTTTAGGGGCAGCAGCAAGTGAAAAATGTTAGGAAGCAGATAAACACAGAGGTTAAAAAGAAATCTTTTTTGATATCACACAAAAAGTGGTGTGTTTGATGTAAATTAATATAACACAGTGAATGAGTTTGTTCAGGTCAACTGATATCTGCCTCACTTAAAGGCAGAGATGGCAAAAGTACTCACTTTCCGTACTTGAGTAAAAGTACAGATACTTGTGTTAAAAAATACTCTGGTAAAAGTGGAAGTACTGATTAAACTTCTTTACTCAAGTAAAAGTAACAAAGTACAGGCTTGTAAATTTACTTAAAGTATAAAAGTAAAAGTAGAAACCACTTTTTTCATGCCGTTGCCTACATTTTAAATGGATGTCTGCCAATAGGACTAGATCTCCGTTGTGTTCATTTTCAATCATCTCGTCGTCCATGCTACTATGCTAACGCCACCGCCACCAAGCTGCAATGATTTGCCGCGAATGAATATCGCCGAATCTGTCCATTCATCTTGTAGTGGTGCGTCAAATGCAACGTAGATTCCCATCGAATTAGATTGAATTTGGTATTGATGACGTAAAAAATAATAACGGTAACTCCATTGAAATGATTCAAAACTAAAGTAACGAGCCAATTTTTTTAAATGTAAGGAGTAGAAAGTACAGATATTTGTGTAAAAATGTAGAGAGTAGAAGTAAAAAGTCGCCATAAAAATAAGTAGTAAAGTAAAGTAAAAATATCAGAAAAATCTACTTGAGTACAGTAACGAAGTATTTGTACTTAGTTACTTCCCATCTCTGCTTAAAGGGAATGTTTTCTCATCTTTCCGATGAGTTGCTTTTAAAAAAAGGCCTGCATTTCTTTTCATTCCTATCAACCAAAAAAGAGTAGCTGTAAAAGTTCTTCAGTTACACATATTTTTAAAATAATTTCCATGGATAGCTGGAAATGTAGCATTCATAGGTGGGAGCCCAAATAAAGAATAAATACATTTCAATCTGAAAAACTCACATGAAGAGAAAAGACAATTAGAAGAAATTCATTGATACAATTACTTTGTCTTTTGGTGCTCAGACCTCGACGGGAAACACAGCACATAATTCTGATAGATATGCATGAACAGGGGTAAAGAACAGGGCTGTTTCCCCTCCAGGCCTGAAACTGGTGGTGGAGTGGAGATAGATGAAGTTGGTCAGTCTGTAGACTGCTGGTTAGTGAGACGGTATGCTTATGGGTAGATCCAGTGGACTGCGTTAGCTGATACTAGAGCTTTACTCAGGGACCTGGAAGATGGAAGTCCAGTTGGATAACACAGGTTGAAAGAACCTGTCCATGATGAGCAAGCATGAAGTGACAGTGGAGAGAAAAAACTCACAATTAGGAAGAAACCTCTGGCAGAATCAGGCTCAACATGGCGGTCTTCTGCCAAACCGGTTGAGATGAGACAGGGAACGCAGTAAGAGTCCAGGAGGAATGACACTCTGATGTAGCTTTAGCTACAAAGGTCGAGGAGGGGTGGAGGTGGGTTGAAACGGTGTCATCTCAATGAAATCACAGAGCATTCGCCACCTGCGCACAGGAGCAGACAGGTGCATATCGAAGGCCTTTTAAGATGAACGTTGAATGCCAATTGGCTCTCGTAGAGGTGTGGTTCAAAGCTGATAGGCTGTGTCGCAGGTGGATATAGGAGAGCAATCAGTTTCTTCAGCCCAACTTCCGCCTAGGCTCCATTAATTATTCATACTTCAAGTTTCTTTTTTTAAAATCTAAGATTAAAATAATGTTATTTAGGCACGATGCTGATGCTTTCAGACTGAGCCAAGAGGCAGCTGATCCTTCAGGTCTGGTGACTTAGCTGGATCATAGCCTGGTTATCAGCTCATTTAGCTCATGCAGCAAAAAAGTCTTCAAAGTTTGAGTTGCAAGGTTCAGTTATTAACTCGACATTAACTAAGATGTAAATATGCCTTCATGAGAGAAAAACCGGAAACTGCTTTAGTTCTAAATGAATAAACATTAAGATGCTGTGGTCTAATGTTTCAGCTCTGTGATATAAAAGCTTTGATGACTGTGTTCTATTGTTTATTAGAAAACCGTGCTTGGAAATGTTATTTGCAAACATTTGCATTGTTTTTGCTTTTATGTGTTTTTCTAAAAAGAAATAAAAGAAATTACAGCTTGATATGAACTGAAATATCAATGCAGGAAAAGTCTACAGTAGTTTCCTGCTTATAGTAGTTTTCTGTCTAAGTTTGTTTTAACTCAGAATAGATTCAGAGCATATTAGTGAACAGAAATTGTATAGATGTGTTACCCCGAAATCCCACATACTCCGTCTGCGCTCCGATCCGCTCCGCCCCGCTGCGCTCCAGACCGCCTGCACAAAGCAAAGCCTACAGCCGCCGCTGTTGCTCCGTCCCCTCCGCTCTGAGTTCCTTGGAGATCGTAGAGGGCATGCGCCAGATGAGCCAGGGTTTCCGCGGATCATTAAAAATAATTACAATTCATAATTCCTTTTTTTAATCAAGGCCTTAATTGGCACTAAAATTAATTAAATGTGTTTATCGTTGCATTTATGATTCTTTAATAAAAATGCTTCTAAAAACAATTTCGTCAGATATATTATATCGCTATTAATTTGCGTGGAACTGTTTATAAAGCCGTATGTTCGGAAAGGAAGCTCGAGGCGGAGAAAAAGCTAGAGAATATATATACGTATATATATGTGTGTGTGTGTTTACATACATACAGGAGTCATGGAACTCTGCTTACAGCTCCTTCATATTTCATGTACACTAATAACGTGTGTACATGGTTCTTGTTGATGGCATTAAAATCATTTCAAATAGCATTAAATTAGAGTCACTCATTCCTGTATGAACCCTGTGAGCGCTTAATTTAATATGACATATTAAAAAAAATCCCACCATCATCCAGCATATGTTCAGTTTCTGCCCAAATATATATATATATATATATATTTGTAGATTTTTGTAACAGAGATAAGGATAATTCAATACTGCTTTTTTTAATGAACTTGTTCTCTACAACTAAGCATCTCTTTTCATTCCTGTAATAAGAAGCTTCTTTTGAATGGATTTGATTAAAGTTTAAGTCCCTCGGTATAAAATAAATATTTTGATGGAGATGAGAAATCTGCTTCCTCGTTGGTGAATAACCAATAGTTTGGATCCAATCATTTAAATAAACGGTGTTAGTTTTTATTTTTTTTATTTTTTTTTTTAGATATTTATAAGAATTGATTGTCACCAATCTGTTGCTACTATATTTTAATTTGACGAACCGGAATTTGTCGATGTTCTTTTTCCTGTTTGGTGCGATTGCAATTGCGGATCTTGACCTGGCCGGACCGGAGCGGAGCAAAAAATAGCTCGGCTCCGTAATTTGTCGGTGACGGACGGAGAAGACGTACATGGACGGAGACGTGCGGAGGAGTAGCTGTGGATGTGGAACAGCTCTCATTGATTTTCCACGAAAGACAAGCGCTCCGCACGACGTACGTCAGCGGGGCGGAGCGGAGCGGAGCGCTGACGGATTATGTGGAATCTGCGGGTTATGCTGGAAAATGAACTTCTATTAACTTTAACAGCTGCCTTCTCTCTGTGCAAAAGAAAAGTCTCCAAATAGCATGATGCTACCACTTCCATGTTTCCGTGGCGATGTAAAGCGTCTGCTTTCCTCTACATGTTCAGTGTTGGTCCTGCTGAACTGTGGTAAGCTGCAAACAGTGGTTATGCCTTTCTGAACAATGGCTTTGGTTTGGCCGCTCTTTCATAAAGGCCTGGGCTGGGCTGCCTCTGTGAGCACTGCTAACCCAGCATGGCCTGTTGGTGCAGCAGGACAGACTGACTGAACAATGGCTTTCTAAAATGTTAAAAGATATTATGCAACATTATTTTAGGATCATGTGAAAAAAATGTTAATGGTAGTGAATATTTTTCCTGTATTTGTTAATAACCCAACCTGCTTGTTATTGCAGTAAATACCAATC